TGTTTTGCAGTTGCACAACTGTATCATTTACTCACACCACATGAGTGCTGGAAGCTTTCACTTCAGTTTTTTGGTCTTTGATTTCCGTTTTTTGCCTCTTGCTGCTTGTTAGGACTTGTCCAGCAGTGTTGATGGAGGAGGTTAAAATGCACCCCCGCTCGCGTTCTGCAGTGCAAGGGCTGGGAACAGTCTAAAATCCTGTACTGTATGTTGCATTAATGAATTAATCGATTTTCTGAAGTACTTTGCATTCCTGGGCAAACCCCAGTGAGTCACAATGTATTATTATCCTTGCTTGACATTGCGGGATTGGGTTTGCATACATACACACATCTGTGTTCGGTGTGTGTGTGTGTGTGTGTGTGAAATGTTTTCATCCATGTTCATGAGTCAGATTGCCCGTAACTGCCCTTTCTCGTCCTCACTGCACTTTTCTGTTAAGGTTGCTTATAAAAGTAAGTTCCGGAGGTCCGCTTTTGTCCTGTTTCTAGAAGGGATCTGTAAAACTGGAATTACGTCTTCCCTGAACGTTTGGCAAGGCGGCCTGAGAGCCCCGTGGCATGGCAGGAACTTTCTACCCAGGAAGATGACGGCTCATTGGTTCAATTTACTTAATGAGGCCGGCGCCGCGGCTCACTAGGCTAACCTTGCGGTGCTGGCACACCGGGTTCTAGTCCCGGTCGGGGCACCGGATTCTGTCCCGGTTGCCCCTCTTCCAGTCCAGCTCTCTGCTGTGGCCAGGGAGTGCAGTGGAGGATGGCCCAAGTGCTTGGGCCCTGCACCCCATGGGAGACCAGGAGAAGCACCTGGCTCCTGCCTTTGGATCAGCGCGGTGCGCCGGCTGCAGCGGCCCGGCCGCGGCGGCCATTGGAGGGTGAACCAACGGCAAAGGAAGACCTTTCTCTCTGTCTCTCTCTCACTGTCCACTCTGCCTGTCAAAAAAAAATTTACCTGATGATTGTAGGACTATTCAGATTTTCTGTTTTATCTAGAATCATTTGATTGAGTTTATTTAAGGTAAATTGTAGTTCTCTAGAAGTCTGTACTTATAAATTTGAAAACTCAGATGAGATGCATGGAGTTGTTGGCAGTGTGCTTTATCTGCGTGGATGTGCAGGACTCACGGTGATAACCTCTTTCTCCTCCTGATCTTGTTCATCTGTGCTGTCTGTTTTTTCTGGCTCAGCCTTGCCGGCGGCTGGTGGATTTTTTTTTTTTTCAGTCGTTTCAAGAAGTGGACCCTTGGCAGCCAGGTGTGAGGTTCACGTCCTCCTGAACACAGCACTTCCAGTCTTGTTGAGTCAGGTGCTTTAACTCCTGGTGCGGGTGTGGGTACATCATGTAGCTTTCAGTCAGTCCATCGTCGGGGAGGTGATGGTGAGTACTGTATCACGCTCACTGGGCATTTGGCTGTCTTCTTTTGTGAAATGTCAAGGGTTTTTTGACTTTTTTAAAAAATTGGCTTATGTTTTTTTAAATGAGTTTGTGAGAGTTCTTCTATATTCTGAAGTTGAGTCCTTTGTCAGGTGTATGTACAGTCATCCCTCCGTATCGCAGGACCCCCATGGGTACCACAGTGGGTGGAGGCTCAAGTTCCCTGTGTAAAGTGGCCTAATAGTCACGTGTAACCGAGATGTAACCTCCCAGGTGCTCTAGCTCACCTGTAAATCACTGACGACACCCAGTGCAATGTCAGTGCTCCGTGTCACTCATGCTGTTTAGGGAATAATGACGAGAAGGGACGTCTGTAGTGTTTTTCTTTCCTAATATTCTTGGTCCATGGATGGTTAATCCATGAATGTGGGACCCAAGGCCAACTGTATTGCAAAGTTCCTCTCCCAAGAGAAGGTTTGCTTTGCACTCCCCTAATTATGTCTCTTACTAAACTTCTCAGCTCTAACAAAGTTGAATTCTTCAGTTTTCTTTTTCTATGGCTAGTGCTTTGGGTGTGCAATTTAAGAAACCTTTGCCTACTCATTGTGTTGCCTTCATGTAAGGTCTGTGATGGCTTTGGAAACAGTTTTGTATACGAGTTGCTGTAGGAGTCAGGATTCATCCTTTAGCGTTTCTGGAAGTGTAGGTCTGCTGATAGCAAACTGAATTGTAATTTGTCTGTAAATATTTTTATTTCATTTAAAAAACGTACTTTTGACGACTCCAGGTTCTGGATCGGCAGTTACTTTTCCGTCTGGCACGTTGCTGTGACTGGATACCCCTCTGTCCCTGACCGCCATCCTTCCTGCTGGGAGCTCTCAGCCTGACAGCTGGCAGTGCCCGAAAGGTCTTGAAGACCTCGCCCCTGCTGCCCCCACCAGAACACCTCTGTATGTGGGCTGGTTTCTGTTTCTGCTCATGCTTTATCAGTTCTGAAAAGCTTTCGGCTGTTACGTTTTCAATGCCGTCTCTGACTCATTCTTTGCATACTCCTGAACATCTTAAATAACATGTGCACCTTCAGACTGTTAGTAACAACATCTTAAAATGGTTATTGTATCTCAGCCCATTTCTTACTTTCCAGCTCTGTTCTGTGTTACAGTCTGGTAATTTCTTCAGAATTATAAGCAAACAGATTTGAAAAGAACCAAATAGAGCAACTAGAAATGAAAGCTACAGTAATTGGGTTTTTTAAAAAAATGTTTTTTCATCTGATTGCAAGGTGGGAGTGGGAGGACCATCTTCCATCTGCTGGTTCTTCCTGAAATGCCCACTGCAGCAGGGATGGACCAGGAGGGAAGCCAGGACCAGGAACTCCATCCTGGCCTCCCATGTGGGTGTCCCGGATGCAAGCACTTGGGCCCTCACTCAGGCCCCAGCATGCGTTAGCAGGAAGCTGGGACAGCAGTGGAGGAACCAGGACCCAGACTGGCAGATTTGTTTAAACCCAACAGACGGGTGTGTGAGATTAGACCCAGTGATGGGGAGGTTGTTAGCACTGGAGTGCAGATCTGCTTGGGGCACTTACGGTTTGTGCCAGTTCAGGGCCACGTGCAGCTACTCACTTGCTCAGCGCAGTCTGCTGGGCCAGTGCGATGTATGCACGACACTCTGACTCCCTGGTTGTGTTCTAAATGACCAGGGGTAAAGTCCCCCGCCTCCATTCAGTGTCAGGGTCGAGACGGGCAGGCTCCCTCACCCTCGCCCTCGTGGGGTTGCAGGTATGTTGCAGGTGGCTACTGGGATGCCAGCTTTATAGGCCGGGGGCTCCCATTTGATCCCCTGTGGACCTGCAGGTGGAAGCTCCTGGCCCCTGCCCTGAGGGCAAAAGCCGGCTGCAGCGCCTCCCTGCCTTTGCTTGGGTGTTGGAATTTTCCACAGCTTTGTCCATGGGCCAGCGCCTGGTCTGCCAGTGCCCGAGCCGTCAGGCGTGTGATGTCGTTTCCACTGCACAGCCTTGTTGAGCACACACCCCCGCACCCCTGAGCATCCTGGTTCGTCTCTTGGGGTGGGTACTTGGCGGGCTTGGAGGCCACCCTCTGTCTTCCTCACAACAGCCTGACCTCGCTGAGGGAAGTGGGTTAACATGGTGGGAACTGACCGTTAGAAAGTGTTTCCAGCCTCCCGTCTGTGGGGCCTTGTCCTCACCACGCGTGTGCTTGCTACTGCTGGAGACGCTCTGGTGACGACGCCGTGGCTGTGTTGGGACTCCAGGTGTTCCCTTCCGAGGGGTGCCGCGTGGCGAGCTGGGTGCCACAAGTGTGTGCCGTCTAAGCGCCGTGTCCAGGCATCTGCAGCTGGGAACCGTGCCTGGGAGAGGTGGGCTAGGGACAGACAGGAGCGGCCCACGCCTGCAGCCCTCACAAACGTGTGCGGCCAGGCCTCCCGACTTCAGAGTTGCAGGTCCGGTGGGACCTGAAGGTACGTTTCCAACAAGGCTGCTTCCAGGGCCGCCGCCGCCAGTGACCTGGCCACCCCTGGCCAGCCCAGCACGCCCACAGCCAGGGCACAGCCCCAGTGCTGTGCGGCCCCTGCTTTGGCTGAGAGGCACGTGAAACTGGCAGAAGCAACAGCCAGGAAACGGTGTCAGTGCCAGCAGGGCTCACATCTGCACAGGCGTCCTTGTTTGCTCCACAAACAGCCGCACACCTGCCGCGTACTGTCTGCCCCTCAGCCCAGCCTTCAGCCCCGCAGCAGTGACACCGGCCATTTAAACTTGCAGTCAGCTCCGCACGCACACACCGGCTGCATCTCAGTGCTCAGTACCCACCCGTGGTTAGCCGCCACTGAACATTCCTACACTGCAGACTTTTCTGTTGGGCAGGGCTGGTCTATGGGAAGACACTGAAAATGAATTTTTGGGACCGGCACGGTGGCGTACCGGATAAAGCCCTGGCCTGCAGTGCCGGCATCCCATATGGGTGCTGCCAGTTCAAGGCCCGGCTGCTCCTCTTCTGATCCAGCTCTCTGCTATGGCCTGGGAAAGCAGTGGAAGATGCCCAAGTGCTTGGGTTTCTGCACCAGTGCGGGAGACCCAGAAGCTTCTGGCTCCTGGCTTCTGATCAGCTCAGCTCTGGCCACTGCGGCCACTTGGGGAGTAAACCCAGTGGATGAAAGACCTCTCTCTCTCTCTCTCTCTCTCTCTTTCAAATAAATAAATCTTAAGAAAAAGAGTGAGCTTTCACTTCTAAAGGCACAGGGCAGGGTCCAGAATAGTGGGACAGGAACTCCCAGGACTCATTCCAGGAGTGCCCCACCCCGGCCTGGGCTCCCCAGCCTCCCTTCCCCGGCCAGAGCCCTACAGCGGGCACGGACGCAGGAGCCCTGTGGTGACTGAGCCGCTGTGCTCCCGTGCCACCAGGGTCTTTGGGGAGCCCACTTTGAGGAGGCCGGCCTGGAACGTGCCTTTTCTAGCCTCGTGTCAGCGATGTGAAAAGTGTGAAAAGCCCGCCGTGAGCAGGGGCTTGCAGGACTGGAGGAAGGCCGCTCGCCCGGTTTGTCAGGAAGCCCTGCGGCCGCCCCAGCGACATCCCAGCTCCCGCCCCACAGCACACACGCAGGCCACGGAGGGGAGCGACTGTTCTTTTATTGATGCAAGTATGTCCAGCCACACCGAGAACTGACATCCTGCATTACGGTACAGCTTTATGTTCAAGAGTTCATGTCAAAAACGAGACAGCAAATTGGGGGTATGTGTCCAATGGGGCAAATCATCAAGTGGCAGACGCGGACAGGGTTTCAAGTAAGGACTAAAAGTGGTGAGCCGTGAAGTGCACACTGGGGGGACGGCTCCGGCACACACGTACAGAACACGTTCCATCACAGGATCCCAACTACAGATTCTCAAGGTGCAAGCCTCTCTCTCAGACATCAACAGAGCGGCCCGCACCGGGGAGCCCGTCTCAAAGTGCAAACACAGGGACAGTCAGTGCAAGCATTGGTTCCGGGCAGCGGGCGCCCGAGGCCTGGCCTGTTCCTCTCCAGCCCCCCCCCACCCCCCGCCTCGGGAAATGTGGAAATCAGAACCTGGCTGGTCCCGGCCCAGGCTTCCCCTCCCTGTCAAGGCTGCTGCCCGAGCCAGGCATTCGGAGACAGCCAAGGACGATGAGCTCTTGCAAGAGACGGAATCAGCCAGGAGGGACCGGCTCGGCTTGTGTCCCGGCCCACGATCAGGGAGATTCACGCCAGGAAGTCGGCCACGGAAAAGCGGAGTGCACACCTCCAGGTGTTGTGCAGTTGGATGGGAACGGGTGCCGGCCTGGCTGGGTCTCCGCGTTTCGCATTCCAGTCGGGGGCAGGACGGGGGAGGGCAGTCCACTAGGACCTGCGTTTGCTTCTCTTTCCCTTGAACCTGGACACCAGCCAGCGCAGCCCGAGCTGTCACCGTCCCCAAGGCTGCCGTGTAGCGCTCTCCTCCCAGCTCAGCCCGGCTCTCAGAGGCAAGGCTGGGAAAACAGCTCCACGGCGCCCCCTCTCAACAGTCTCAGCTTTTCCTCCTCTCTAAAACGTGGCTGAGAAACCACCAACCAGACGCCCCCCCACCCCGCCCCTGAACCCAGAAATCCCTGATCAAAGAAAACAGACATGTAAACTCTGGGAAGCACACACTCCGGAAGGAAGCGCGTGAGCCCCCCAGCCACCCACCCAGCCCCTCGCTGAGCCCCCGCGGCCTCTAAGGCACTAACCCGACGTCAGGGACGCTGGCGGCAAACTCATCCGGGCAGGCCGGGCTCACGTTGGTTTTGGTTGGGTTGTTTTTTTTTTTTTTTAATTTTTTTTCATAAGGTGTGAATAATCAAAAGTAGAAAATAAAAATCTACATCTCATTAGAATAAGATGGGATCATGAACGCCATCTCCCATGAGACTCTTTCCCCGCCCCTCCCCATAAGCAGGGCCCTGCCCTGTTATTTAAAATAAACCAAAAAAACTTTGTTAAGTGCCAAAGGTTGATGCATGAAATAATTACCATTTTTTCCATAAAAGTTATATACAAAATGGACCCCAGCCAGTGAGGCCGCCTCATCTGAACAGCCCAGCAATCCGGACGGAAGCTCGCTGCGCGCCAGTGCGTCGTCCTGTGCCTGCAGCACCTCAGGCCCGGTTGAGCAGAGTCGTCCTACAGGTGCACAGGGAACAAGGTGAGAGTCAGGCCCCCGCGTGGGCAGAGGGCAGGTCCACGTTGTGCAGAACCTGCAGCCCCTTGCAGAAGAGCAGACCCGGGGCCGGGCTGAGGACGGCAGCACCGGCATCCAGCATGGGCGCCGGCTCAAGTCGCCACTGCTCCACTTCCCATCCCGCTCCCTGCTAATGCGCCTGGGAGAGCAGCAGAAGGTGGCCCAAGTGCTAGGGCCCCTGCACCCATGTGGGAGACCCAGAAGAAGCTCCTGGCTGCTGGCTGTGATCTGACCTAGCCCCCTGGCCGTGGAGGCCATCTGGAGAGTGGACCAATGGATGGAGGATCTCTATTTCTCTCCAGTTCTGCCTTCCAAATAAATCAATCTTTTACCAGCAGAAGAGAGGTGCGTGGTACCTCCCACCCCCACCCCGTGGGCTCGGGGGTCCCTGGCAGGGTCCAACCTGAGGGTCTTCCAGCTGTCCTTTTCCATGTGGTTCTCAGGGCCTTCACTTTCAAACGAGGCGATGAAGAGACCTGAGAGGCAGAGAAGCCCCTAGATCCCCACCCCCGCACCCTGTTTTCCCCTCCAGGCCCAGGACAAAGGGCGGGTCTCTGGGTGGGTCCCAGGGCTTCCCAGCCCCCCGTTCCCCCCCCCACAGCCCTGCAGGCGGAGCCGGCCAGCCAGCGTCACCTGGGCAGCTCACCTTCCTCATTGTAGATGGGCGCCGTGAGCAGGTAACTCTGAATCTTCTTGTCCTTCTCGAAGGGACACTCTACCTGCGTCCACGTCATGAACTCGTGGATCTGTCTGGAGATCTCCCAAAATTTCTGAAGGCACAGGGTGTCCATCTGTCGCCTGGAGCTTATCACCCTCCCTCAGGGGCCGGGGCTGGGGGAGGCGGGTGCTGGTGCTGCAGGGCCAAGCCCGTGGCCGCTCTGCCCAGGCCGTCGGGCTGCTGTGTGATCTCAGCTCCCCACCCATGGCTGGGGCCTTACTGTGGGAAACGGGTGCCCCGCCCCCACCCCGCCATCCTTGGGCAGGTGCCCTGAGCCCCTCCCTCCCTCTGGAATTCTCTGGCCCCACCTCTTCTCCGCCTAAGCTGCTCTGTGCTTTCAGCTGCCCCCCTACCTGCCCTGTGCCCTAGGATATCTCTCCCTCTCCCTCTCCTCCTCCCCCCCCTCCTCCTCTCCCCCTCTCTCTCTCCCCTCTCCTCCTCTCCCTCTCTCTCTCCCCCTTTCCCCCTCTCTCTCCCCCTCCCTCTCCCTCTCCTCCTCTCCCCCCCTCTCTCTCCTCTCTCTCCCCCCCCCCTCCCCCTCTACAGTCTCCCCTCTCCCCCTCTCTCCCCTCTCCCCTCCCCCCTCTCTCTCCCCCCTCTCTCTCCCTCTTCCCCTCTCCTCCTCTGCCCCCTCCCTCCCCCCTCCCCCCTCCCCCCTCCCCCCTCCCTCTCCCCTCTCCCCTCTCCCTCTCCTCCTTTCTCCCTCTCCTCCTTTCTCCCTCTCTCCCCTGGCCAGGTTAGCTGTAGAACCAAGGCCCTGGGTACATGCAGGCTCCCTGGGACTCCAAGCTCTGTGACCAGGTCACCCCACCACCACCAAGATGGGCTCCCATGCCCCCCACCCCCGCCCCCGTGGCTCTCAGTCCTAACCTCCTCCCAGCCTCAGGCAGGGCTCGAGCAGCCCCTCCCCCAGGCCCCAAGCTCACCTTGAAGTTCACGTGGCCGTTGGGCAGGTGGTTGGTGTGGATCTTGTGCAGGAAGTAGATGTCCTTGACGAAGAGGTTGAACACAGGGATGACAATCTTCTCGCGGCTGCTGTTGGCCGTCTGGGACCGCTGCGTGGCCCCCTGCAGGGCGGTGCGGTAATTGCAGAAGTTGCTGGAGGGGTCCATGTGGTGCTGGGGGGGGGGCAGGGAGGCCCTGGTGAGTGCCCGGCTCCTGCACCCCCTCAGGCCTGCTCTGGGCACTGCCTGCAGCTGCAGGTGGAGCCCAGGAGCCAGTGCGGGGAGGGGGGAGCCCCAGGTAACCGCAGGACGAGGCCTTCTGAGTTTGTCTCACCCTCCTCCCAAAACTTTCCCTTGCTCCTCTCCCAGGCCCGACCAGATCCGCCAAGACAGACATTGTGCAAAGCAGAGGTCCTATGAGGGCAGAGATCAGCCCAGCTGCTAAGTCGCCCGCATCCCCTGTGGGAGCCCCGGCCTGCAGCCCCTGGCTCCAGCTCCCTGCTAATGCAGGCCCTGGGAGGCCTGATGATGGCTCAAGTGGTCCCCGCCACCCACACAGGAGGCCTGGACTGAGCTCCCGACTCCCAGCTTGAGCCCAGACCAGTCTGTCTGCAGGCATCTGGGGGTGAGCCAACGGATGGGAGCTCTGTCTGCCTCTGTGTGTGTGTCTTTCTCTGCCTGTCAAACAAAATAAACTCAAATAAAAATATTTTTTTTGACAGGCAGAGTGGACAGTGAGAGAGAGACAGAGAGAAAGGTCTTCCTTTGCCATTGGTTCACCCTTCAATGGCCGCCGCGGCCAGCGCACTGCGGCCGGTGCACCGCGCTGATCCGAAGGCAGGAGCCAGGTACTTATCCTGGTCTCCCATGGGGTGCAGGGCCCAAGCACTTGGGCCATCCTCCACTGCACTCCCTGGCCACAGCAGAGAGCTGGCCTGGAAGAGGGGCAACCGGGACAGAATCCGGCGCCCCGACCAGGACTAGAACCCGGTGTGCCGGCGCTGCTAGGTGGAGGATTAGCCTAGTGAGCCGCGGCGCCGGCTCAAATAAAAATATTTCTAATGCATTCTCTTTCAAAGATGTCCATAAGGCTGCAAACAAGCTCCCGCCCGGAGCCAGCCTCTGGGTGACCAGATGGCCCCGGAGCAGCGGCCGCGGAGCAAGGGAAAGGCAGGTCAGACTGTGCGGCCACAGCTGTCACTCGCCGTTCTCCAGAACTCCCTGGGGGCCGAGAATAGCCTGCCGTGGAGGGCAAGCATCCAGCCAGCCAGCCGCGGGGGCACGGGCTCGGGGGTCCCTACCTCCAAGACGTCGAACTTGGCCGTCTTGACCTTGGACCACGTCTTCTTCAGCCGTGCCACGGGGCTGAGGTTCATGCCGGCTGCGGGCACAGTGGGGAGGCTGGGTCAGGCAGGGCAGAGGCGGCAGGCCGCAGGGGCTGCCCCGCCCGTGCCCCGGGACACTCACAGATGATGGCCATCATGGAGTTGAAGTTGCCGATGTTGAAGCACTCGCGGGCCACGTCGATGAAGAACTCCAGCATGCGGGTGCGGTGCTTCTTTTTCACCACCTGGAGGGCGGCGGCACGGCCTCGGTGTGGAGTCACCAAGGGGCCGCCAGGCAGGGGGGCCGAAAGGGCCCCGGGACTTGGACGGGCCGAGGGGGCCGGGGCTGGGGTCAGCTCCCTCGGCCCAAAGGGGATGGGGCCACCTCCCTCTAGGGCCTGTGTGGGCTGGCAAAAAAATGCTTGCTGGGGCTGGCACTGTGGCACAGCAGGTAAAGCCACCACCTGCAGTGCCGGCATCCCATATGGGCACCAGTTCAAGTCCCGGCTGCTCTACTTCCAATTCAGCCTTTTGCTATGGCCTGGGAAGGCAGTAAAAGGTGGCCCAAGTCCTTGGGTCCCTGCACCTGCGTGGGTGACCTGGAAGAAGCTCCTGGCTCCTGGCTTCAGATCAGCCTAGCTCTGACTGTAGCGGCCATTTGGGAATGAACCAGTGGATGGAAGACCTCTCCCTCTCTCTCTCTCTCTCCCTCTCTCTCTCTCTGTCTCTCTCTTTCTCTTCTTTTGTAACTCTTTCAAATAAATAATTTTTTTTTAAAAAAGAGTGTTTGCTGAGCATGGGGCAGGGGTAGGGAGGTGGGGCACTCCTTGGATGGAGGCCCCATTGTCACTCAAGGAATTGCTGTGTGAGGGACACCTGACGATGGAGATGCCATTGACAGACAGCTCCGTCATCTAGCTTGAGGCTGGGGCAGCAGCCAGAGCCTCCTGGGGTACCGAGGCACACAGGCATGGCAGTCAGCTTACCCGGCACACTTCAGTGGCCACCAGCATGCTCAGGCAGTTGAACCAGTTGTCATAGGCCTCCAGGCTGAAGGTCTTGGTCAGGTCCCCTCGGCACTGGGAGGGATCCAGCAGGTCAGGGGGATTGGGCAGGTCTGGAGCCCTGTGCCCCCTCCCAGCACACCTCGCCCTCCCATGCTCCCAGAGCAGGTGCTGCAAGGGTCCAGCAGGTGTCACAACCCCACCTGCCAGGGCCCTGCCCACTCACCCTGTGGTTGTCCCGGGAGTCCGTGTGGCTGATGATCTGTATCAGGTCCTCGGGGTGAATGCTACTGACCCTCTCCTGGGGGCACAGGGACAGCAAACGGGGGGCAGGTGACGGCCCTGTCCCTCAGAGGAAAGGGACAGAGCTACAGAGTAGTGCGGTGGGGAGGGGGTGCAGCCCGGGGCACAGACCCTCTGCCTTCTCACAGCCCTCTGTGGTTCCCACCTTCCGGCCACCCAGGGCTGCCAGGCCCCTGTGGGCCTAACACCAGGCACAGGCACCTACTACTCATATGGCCACGCCCAGCCTGAGGCACCCAGGTCAGGGCTCATGAGCCCTCTGCCCCAATTGGCAGGGGCTATGCAGTGCTGTGCACAGAGGGGCCCTGGGTGAGCTGCAGAGGGCGCACCCCGCCACACCTGCACAGGCAGCACTGACCAGTTCGATGTGGGTCAGCTGCTGGGCCAGCACCAGGGGGTCGCAGCACACGCCCAGGATGTCCTTCTGGGCGGCTGGTGGCTTGGCCTTGAGGACGGGCCCTTTGTCCATGGCTGGCTGCCGGAGCTTCTCCCGCAGCTCCTGGAGCTGGTTCCGGGTGGCCAGGGACAGCAGCAGGCTCTGTGTCATTTGGGCGATGGCCTTCTTCACGGTGCCGTTCTCCTGTGGGGGGCCGGGGGGGTGGGGGGGGTGAAGGCGGTGCTAGCATGGGCTGGCGGGACATGCCTGGCAAGGAGCCCGAGACCCCAGCCAAAGCCGCCGTGAACCTCTGACCTCTGACCCCAGAGCCGGCTGCCCTGAGAGCCTGCTGGCTGCAAAGTGTGATTTCTCCCACAGGCAGCCCCTGAGCTGTTTCTGGCTTCTCCCAGGCAAGAGCCGCTGGGAGCCAGGACAGCAGATAGAAATCTTAGAGCCACTCCAACAGGTCCCCACTGCAAGGAGCCGGGGGGGGGGGGGGAGCAGGGGTTGAGGGAGGGGCAGGGGCTGGGGGAGGCACTGGCGGCGCCAGGTTGCAGGGCCAGCTGAGCTGTCATTAGGGGATCGGGGACCCAGCCGCAGCAATCCCCTAGGGCAGTGCCAGGACAGGGGGCCTATGCAGACCCCCCACCCTCACCCTGCAGGAGCCGAGGGAGCCCTGACCTCGTCACACTGGGTGACACGGTGTGTGATGGCCTTCAGCTCTGCCATGGCCTTCTCGTCCTGGAAGTCGTAAGGGAATGCCTCCGTCCACTCCTTCAGCAGCTGCACGACCTTGGCCGAGAAGGACTTGAGCTTGGCCTGGGGCGGCAGGGGCAGAGTGAGACCCCCAGGCCTGAGCAGGTGGCATAGGCCCCCCAACCCCCAGGCCTGGGCCAGCACCTCCTGTCCCCGCGTGTTCGGGTGCTATAATTAAAAAAGCACCCCATAAAAGCCGAGCGAAAACTTGGCACCCCATGCAAGACTCTCTTGGTGCCCTCTTGCTGAAAAGCAAAGTGGGCAGGTGCAGGGGGCAGGGGGTGGGACCCCCAAAGGGCAGCAGCCCGGAGGGAGTTCCAGAGGGTGCAGCCGGATACCCTCCCCCACCCCCACCCCCGCCGACCCCCTCCAGGGCGGGGTGCCCTTACCTTCTCGGGCCCCGCCTCCAGCCGCTGCCTCTGCTCCAGGCAGATCTGCCCCACGCGGGCCAGCAGGTCATGAGGAGGCACGAAGACCCTGGAGCTCAGCAGGAACGTGAAGATGTATGTCCTCTGAGGAGGGAGACAGGTGCAGGCTGCCTGGACCCTCACTCCCCGCCCGCAGCCCCCTCCCCCCGCTGCCCAACCACCCCAGCACCGGGCCGAACCCAGCCCTGCATGTGGGGAGACTCGCAGGCCAATGCAGACCCCTTGTGCAGCCCACAGGGCTCCCCAAGCCCTCCGTTGCTCTAGACCCTGGTAGGCCTTAGAGGGCAGGGTCTCCCCAAGCAGCACGGGGCCCAGACGGTGGGGCATGGCCTGAGGAGGGCAGAGCTGGTCAGTGGGGTAGGTGTGGGTTTGGGAGGCAGGGCCCGGCACAGCCCAGTGGGGCAGGAGCCTGGGGCCTGAGACCTGGTGACAGGCCCGGGCACGGCCTCTGACCCCAGCTGCCAAGCCAGAGCCCCACCCCCTGCATCCACCTGCCATCGGCACTGGGAGGGGCCCTTCCCAGGGTGAGGAAGGGGGGAGACTCTACCCCAGCTGGGATCTTGCTCGGCCACACGCTGTTGGGAGCAGGGCTCCCTGGAGCAGGATTCAGGGGCCTGGGGCTCCTGCTGGCCGCACCAGCCCTCCAGCTGCTGGGGGAGAGGGGGAGCCCCAGGCAGCAGGTGAGGCTGGGATGTGGAGGGAGAACACACGGGGATCACAGCTCCGAGCTCTCGGCCAGAGCTGGAGCTCCAAGGAGAAGCTGTGTATCTCCAAGGGGGATGGGGGAGGTGGGGGGGGCACGGGTGTCAGCTGCCCACGAGTACGGGGAGACAGTGAGGGAAGGGGCTGGGGCCTGGTGGCTTCTCCTGCCCCCAGCCGGCTCCACTCTCTCCTGGGAAGCTAGTGGCAGTTCTTGGGGTCACAAGACAGGAGGAAGAGGGAGGGGTCGGCAATGCCAAGGCTACTCCTCCTGGACCTGACTCCTCCAAGAGCGGACGCCGGAGGCTGTGCCTCCTCCAGGCCAAGGCCAGCCTGCCCCGCCGCTGCTCCCGGGAGTGCCTTGGTCCCGCCTTCCCTTGGGGGGAGGGGTGCACAGCTCATGCCAAGGGGCAGGCAGGCCTGCAAAGCATGGTTGCTAAGAGACGCCACCCCCACGCGTGACCAAGGACGCCTCCTCCAAGCGCGGATGGTAGCGTCTGCAGGTGCAGAGGCGGCGGCTGCTGTGTGCCCCTGGGGGCGGGGCAGGGCTGGCTCCTCCTCCTGCTGGACCACAGCCAGGGATGGGGGGTGGGAAATGGGGTTGGGGGGTCCCTTATGACTTCCCAGTTGAGCCATGAGCTCCAGGACCCCAAGTGCCAGCCCTGCACTTGGACCCTGTCTCATCTCACAGTCCCACTCAGAACTCAGGGCCCCTGCTGGCCCGTGTGTGTGTGTGTGTGTATGTGTGTGTGTGTCCACCTGCCTGGGGCAGTAGCAGGAAAGCCACTGCTGACTGCCCCAGGCCGGCCACCTGTGCTTCCAGGGAGGGCAGAACAGGAAGTGAGGACCCACGGGGGTGGCACTGGGCCCCGCTTCCCCCCTGCCCAGAAGCAGCACCCCACCCACCGCCCCTACTGCCCCAGGCCCTGCACTCACATCGGGGTAGTAGTCCACCGTGGGGACCAGGTGCTCCATCAGGGCCTCCAGGGACCCCGAGATGAGGCGTCCGTCTTGGAAGATGAGCCCTCCCGGGCCGCCGCCAGCCCCACTTCCCCGCTCGCCCATGCTGGGCTGCATCTGTCCGCTACAGCTGGGCCCAAGGACGCTGGAGAAGACCACGGCCGTCTGGGGCATAGCTTCCTGGGGAGGGGAAAGAGGCTGTGAGCCCCTGGGGGCTGAGAAGTGTTTGTCCGGCCCCTGCTTGGGCGCACTGGACCACGTGGTAGGAGCCTGGACACAGAGCCAGTCTCCTGGTGGTACAGAGGTATGTGTTACAATGCACGCTCACGGCCCATCCCCAGCCTGGCCCCTCACTCAGGCATCCTTCGAAGGAGCAGACCCTTCCTCGTTCCCACATCGCAACCGACGCCCAACAGGAAAGAACTCAACTCAAGAAAGCCTGGGATGTCAATCCAGCCCAGGGGTCACCACCTCCAGGAAGCCTTCCTGGATTGATCCCAGACTGCTGGCCCCCGCAGCTGTGAGTGGCTGTGTCATCTGACTGTGTGTCCTCTTGCCAGCTCAGAGGAGGACAGCGAAATAATAGAAGTGGGTTTCTGGGACCCCAGCACCTTGCCCACACACAGACTGGAGCGGCTGCCCCAGCAGGGCATAGTCCCAGGTTCAAAAGGTGAGTGGCGGGCAGGTGGTGATCTCGCTCTTTTGGCCTCTTCACCCCAAGATCCCAGGCTCATCAAAGATGACAACTCCAGGCCACCAGCCTCTCCCGCCGTTGCTCTGGTCAGGGGGTGTTGTGGGGGGACGTTCTAGCACCCCACTAACTCACACAGCCCCCACCCATCCTCCAGCGCAAGGCCACCCTCCGTCCAGCCTGCAGGGAGACTGGGAGCCAGTCTGGGACCACAGCCACTGCCCACTGCAGAAAGGGGACAGGCGAGTGGGCAGGGCCTAGTCACTTTGGGGGGGGGCTAGGGAGGGCCAGCAGGGGTGCCCCAGGTGGGCGGGGGCTTCTGGGGGCTCAGAAGCCTCCCAGGGAATCACCAGAGCCCACAGCGGCCTGGCTAATAGGTGGAGGGGCCCTGGGGTCTCCCCAGCCCACCTGTCACTCCTGCTGCCTCCCAGGAACCAAGCCTCTGCAGGCCACTCCCACCGGGCCTGCTCTCGCACCTGGAGTCCACCTCTCCTGTGCCAGCCACGTGGCGCCCAGCCCCCTCTCGGGCCGTCAGAGCTGGACGCCGGCCCCGTCGGCACCCCCTGGGAGGGAGTGCACGGCGACAGAGGTCATCCAGCACACCAAGCTGAGACCCTGTGTGTTGCATGTGGCTCCAGGGCTGGCTCTGAGACCCCGTAGTAAACCCCCCCCCCGCAAGACATTCATTACTCTCCAATACTGCAGGTGAGGACAAGGCCCAGCAGGGCAGGTCACTGCCCCAGGTCCCGCAACGAGATCGAAGATGGCCAGAGCCTGAGCCTGCCTCAGCCGCTTGCGGCTTTGGAAGGATCCTCTGACTCCCAGGGCCTCAATGTCCTCTCTAAAATGGGCACAGAGAGGACTACTCACAGGCTAGCCGAGAGGATCAAATGAACCTTCAGCGTAAAGTGCCAGGTCGCCGCCTCCCCGGAGCTGACTCCCACCGGCGTGACTGCCCGGGAGCCCCCACAGCCACAGGGTGCCCAGGACACAGACACCTTGCACGGCTGCTCCAGAGCCAGGCTTGTTCCCTGCCTGCCTGCACCTCCTCCCTGTCAGGTAGCCCTCCCCCACAAGGCACCGCTGTCCCAACAGCAGCAGCAGCGTGACCCGAGTTCCCAAGCATGCCTCCTCCTGCAAGACAGCAGGCGATTCCCACGCAGGTGCACGGAGGCCCGGGAGCTCAGTCTCAGAGAGTGCCCACCCCCAGGTGCCTTGTGCCAGCTACACCGGCCCGTGCTGTCACCTGGGGACCTTCCAAAGACACCCCCAAGAATCCGAGTCCACTGGTTGAGGTGGGGATGGATGGGGGTGCAGCCCTACCACTGGCAATCTCGTGGTTTTCCAGGTGCACATGGGAGCAGAAGGCAGGGGGCGCCTTTGTCCTGCCTCAGCTGCATGCAGCCCACCACCCCCCACCCCCGCCCCAGGCTGCAGGGACCGCTGAGAACCAGGATGGCGCAAGGCTGGCCGGCAGCCGGAGGGCCACAGCAAGGAAGCTGCCGGGACCCCCGCCTCCCCCAAATCCAGCTGGGGGAGGGGACAGGTTTGCACCCCCAAGGGCCTCCTCTCAGCGCCTTGCAGCTCCTCCGTGGTTCAGGCAGGAAGGCAAGCAGTTTCTAATTATAGACCTCAGCCACTCAGGGGGGAAAAAGTGCTCACAGGGAGGCGGGTGCGAGTGATTCACCGTCTCCTTACACTCCCACTCATGCCCCCCCACGCCCCCACGGGCCAGTGGCCCCAGGCTGTAGGCTGAGGGGGAGGGGCCCTCCTGCCAGCTAGAGAGAGCCTGGGACCGCACCGGACTCTCTGGGGGCGCCACAGAGGAAGGGGGGTCTTCCTGTCTGGGACCTCAGAGGACGCCCGCCCTATTACTGCGACAGCCACACGCAGGGGTCTGCACCCCCTGCCGTGACTGGCCCTGGAGGTGAGGTGGGCAGAGCAAGCAGGGGCAGGGGGCTTCTTGGGACCAGCACCGCCGCCCCCCACAACCAGCACCGCTCTGCCAGGCTCTGCCCGAGCTGCCCCAGCTGCCACCTGTGCTGTCGTCAGCAGTGAGGGCTCACGCCTGCCATCCTCAGCCCCTCCCTGGGCCTGGGGAGAGCTCCCCGCGGCTGCAGCCCCGTCTCCCGCACGCCCAAGTCCTGCCCTGCGCTCCCTGCCCTGGGCCCAGATCTGCCTCTGCCTCCACGGGGTGGCTCTGAGCCTCAGTGTCCCCAGCTGTCAGCCAGGGGGCGGGGCCTCTCATCCCTCCTCCCTGCAGGGAGCTGCTGTGTTAAGCTGACAACACAAGGGGTCAGGTGCACCCTGCATCTCTGCCTTGCTCACCGCTGCCGGGGGGGGGGGGGGGGGGGCAGCAGGGAACAGCCCGGAGCTGCCAGTGGGCGCGTTCTGCCTGCTCACTCCAGGCGGGCTGCTGCCGGGAGCCTCCCAGATTCTCCCCAGCAACGCCCAGGGAGGCACATGGAGGTGGGATCCGTGGGCTCTGCTCCCTGGGGAGCACGCCCATGCCAAAGCCTCCACTCCCTCGCTCTCATGCCCCCCCCAATCCGGGCCGGGCACGAGCTCCTGGCTCCAAGCACTCTCAATACTTAGTGACTGCTAGGCCAGGGACGCGGCAGACCCTGCCCTGTAAGACCCACCTGGGGAAGGGGAGGAGACCAGGGAGCCATCCCCAGGGCTCAGTCAGGGCTCTGGGGCACCCCCTCCGCTTCCCCGCGTGGAGTCTGGAAGTTTCTGAGAAGTGCAGGGACGAGGACAAGCTTTCTGTAACTAATCGCGTGAGTCGGGGCTGAGCCGTGCGCTGGGTGCCCTCAGAGGAGGGCGCGGGGCTCACTCGGCCCTGTCTGCCCCTCCCACGGCGTCGCAGCGCGCCCCTGAGTGTTCCCCAGGGCGGCCGGCAGGGGGCGGCCTGCAGGGGACTGGCCCGGCCTGAGCAGGAGACACGGGGCGGCAGAGTGCACGGCCCCACACTCTGCCCGAGACCCCAGGACCCACACACTCTCCGAAGACCCCCACGCTGAGAAACTTTTCAGCGTCCGGGAAACCGGGGCCGGATCCGCCAGGAGTGGGGGCGGGGCGCGCGCCGGGCTTGGCCAGGGGGGTTTCTTTCCCAGGCAGCTCTATTTTTTCACCTACTCAACAAAAACCGAGACTATTTTTAGCCCTGCAAGCTGCTGGGCATCACAATTAGCGACTGCAAATTACACATCCCGCCAGTCTGCCTCCGCGGGCTGCCGAGGGGGGCGGGAAGAAGCAGTGGTCCCCAGGGTGGGGGTGGGGGCGGGGAGCTTTCGCCCGCCCAGGGCCACAAAACCAAGAGGGCCCGTGGAGAGGCTGCGATCAGGTGGAGCCGCGCGGACAGCTGGGACCTGGCCGGCGACCCCGGGCCCAGCTCGTGCCGGGCCCCACCCAAGGGACCCCAATAGCCCTTCTTGGGCATCTGTCTGGCTCCGAAGTTCTGGGGTGCAAAAGCAGGAAGCTATCATTCCCTCATTCATTCATTCCCTCATTCATGCATTCATCCCCTCATTCATGCATCCTCTCATTCATGCATTCGTGCATAACTAGGACCCGCGCAGACACTGGATGCACCCACGGAAGGAACGTCATCACTCCCAGGCCCCACAGAGCACCCACAGGGGCAGGAGAGGCCGGCGTGCACGAGGGCCGCGGATAACGCAGGTGGCACCGTGGATCCCAAGAAGCTCAGTGCTCCGGACAGAGGAGAAAGGGGATGGGGGTGCAGGCTTCGCCCAGCTCTGCCCAGGGTCCAGGGTCCAGGATGGAGTTCCCCTTGGCAGGAATTTCTCCCTGGTTCTGGCAGGGACCCCCAACGCCCTTGGGAGTGGTCTCAGAGAGGACAGTGGGGGCCCTCACGTCACCGAGAGCTCAGAGCCCAGTGAAACCTGCAAAGGCAACGCCCAGCTGTGTGGGGGGGCAGCCCTGGGACAGGGGTCCGTGCGGATGCCAGCTTTGTGGAAAACCTTCCCTGGGTCACAGGATTCACTTGCCTCTGTGGATTGTCACCCACCCTGGATGGGAGACGGCTCCAGGCCAGGAGAGCTGTCTCAGAGCTGGCGGGGGCCCCGCTCTCTGGGACACGGGGACTCTCCGCCACGTGTGAGCTCAGCCATCTAACCTTGCAGGAGACAACAGGTGAGGGGTCCTGGGCCTCCTGGTTGGGGAGCAGCTCCGGGACTCGCCTGGGGATAGC